CCTGAGGTTAGGAGTTCAAGACAGCCTGACCAATATGGTGAAACCCCGTCTCTGCTACAAATACAAAAATTAGCCTAGTGTGGTGGCTTGCGCCTGTAGTGCCAGCTACTCAGGAAGTTGAGACAAGAGAATCGCTTGAACCGAGAAGGCGAAGGTTGCAGTGAGCTGAGATCGAGCCATTGCACTACAGCCTGGATGACAGAGTGAGACTCCAACTCAAAAAAAAAAAAAAAAGAAAGAAAAGAAAAAATTAAACTTATTGTCAATTGTACTAGCAAATATGATAAAAGATATAAATACACCTTAATAAAAATGTCCTTCGTAACGCTCCACTTTAAGAGAGAACCCTTAATCATTTCCCAGGATTCCTGAATATATTGTATGTGTGTGTGTAACAGCACAGCTATGCCTGGAACCCACCTATGGCACGTGAAGTGTTCTCGCATCCAGAAGCCGAGGCTACCAGTGTTCTGACCTCCAGTGCCGGAGAAACGGCGTACCTCCATCTCCTCAAAGACTTCCTAAAGCTGCCTTTTCTGTTCAGAAAAATGATACAATATGCAGGCCGGGCACGGTGGCTCAAGCCTGTAATCCCAGCACTTTGGAGGCCGAGGCGGGTGGATCACGAGGTCGAGAGATCGAGACCATCCTGGTCAACATGGTGAAACCCGTCTCTACTAAAAATACAAAAAATTAGCTGGGCATGGTGGCTCGTGCCTGTAATCCCAGCTACTCAGGAGGCTGAGGCAGGAGAATTGCCTGAACCCAGGAGGCGGAGGTTGCGGTGAGCCAAGATCGCGCCATTGTACTCCAGCCTGGGTAACAAGAGCGAAACTCCGTCTCAAAAAAAAAAAAAAAAGAAAAAGAAAAATGATACATGCTCTTTTCAGAATGTTTGAAGAGGTCTACACACCCTATGGAAGAGAAAAAAAAAAAATCACTTAAACCTCATCAGTCATCATTAACATTTTGGTGTTGTTTCATTTTAGCTGAAGTCACACCTTGAAAATACATCTTCGGTGGTGCCAGGTGGCTCACACCTGTAATCTCAGCACTTTAAGGCCAAGGCAGGCAGATCACAATGTCAGGAAATCAAGACCATCCTGACCAACATTGTGAAACCCTGTCTCTACTAAAAATATTTTAAAAATTTAGCTGGGTGTGGTGGCACATGCCTGCAGCCGCAGCTAATCGGGAGGCTGAGGCAGGAGAATTGCTTTAACCCAGGAGGCGGAGATTGCAGTGAGAAGAGATCGCGCCACTGCACTACAGCCTGGGCAACAGAGCAAGACTCCGTCTCAAAAAAAAAAAAAGAAGAAGAAAATATATCTTCATGGCTGGGTGTGGTGACTCACATTTGTAATCCCAATACTTCGGGAGGCCGAGGTGGGTGGAAGGTTTGAGACCAGGAGTTCAAGACCAGCCTGGCCAACATGGTGAAACCCTGGCTCTACTAAAAACACAAAACTTGGCCAGGTGTGGTGGCATGTACCTGTAATCCAAGCTACTCAGGGGGCTTAGGCAGGAGGACGGATTGAACCCGGGAAGCCGAGTTGCAGCGCTGCGCTCCAGTCTGGGTGACAGAGCGAGTATCTGCCTGAAAAAAAAGAGAAAAGAAAATACATGTACATCTTCACGTACAGATTTTTTTTTTTTTTTTTGACACGGAGTTTCGCCCTTGTTACCCAGGCTGGAGTGCAATGGCGCGATCTTGGCTCACCGCAACCTCCGCCTCCTGGGTTCAGGCAATTCTCCTGCCTCAGCCTCCTGAGTAGCTGGGATTACAGGCACGCACCACCATGCCCAGCTCATTTTTTGTATTTTTAGTAGAGACGGGGTTTCCCCATGTTGACCAGGTTGGTCTCGATCTCTCGACCTTGTGATCCACCCGCCTCGGCCTCCCAAAGTGCTGGGATTACAGGCTTGAGCCACCGCGCCCGGCATGTACAGATTCTTTTCACTTGCTGTGTCGGCAAGCATGCGCCATCCCCACTGACAGGTGCAATGCTGCTTCTGTGGGACTCAGTGGCTGGTTACATCTACAGCCTGCAAGGGCACAGGCTGTAGTTTTCTTTCTTTTTTTTAAATAAAGATGGGGTTTCACCATGTTGGTCAGGCTGGTCTTGAACTCCCGACCTCAGGTGATCCGCCCACCTTGGCCTCCAAAGTGCTTAGATTACAGGCGTGAGCCACCACGCCCGGCCTGTAGTTTTCTTTTATTATAAACAACTCCATGAAGAATATCAGTGCTTTGGATTTTTTCCTTGTGATAGACCTCTAGAAGGGAAATTCCTAGAAGGAGAGTCAAGAGTATTTGTTTTTGTAGCTTTTTCAAACAAACTACTTTTTAAGACAATTGCGTGGACTTATAATTGCAAAATTAGCTGTTTGATGCTCACTGTGGTTGCCTTTCTGTCACTGCTGGCCTAGAGTAAGTGGAGGGTTTAGCTCTGCACACCATGGGGGCAGCTTTCAGATCCCAGGCTGCAGAGGGGAGGTGATCCCACAGGAGACTAACACCCTTTGTCTTGGAAACTCCTCCCTGGGGGGGATCTCCAGCCAGATTGTGGGGGGCAGGTGAGGAGGAGATTGAATTTGATGGTACTTATGTGGATAAATGGATTTGGATCAATATTAACCTGATTTTGAAGGTTGTTCTCTGGCTAGTATCATTGTTGATTTTAGGAAATACACAGTATATAGGGAATTTAGAGCACTGATGTTTGCGTCCTCCTCTCTGAGGGCTCAGAGAGAAAGAGCAAGTGAGGCCAAAATAGAGACCAGGATGCCCGGGCACAGTGGCTCACACCTTAATCCCAGCGCTTTGGGAGGCCGAGGCAGGTGGATCATGAGGTCAGCAGTTCGAGACCAGCCAGGCCAACATGACGAAACCCCATCTCTACTAAAAATACAAAAATTAGCCTGTTGTGGTGGCGGGCACCTGTAGCCCCAGCTACTTGGGAGACTGGGGCAGAAGAATCACTTGAACCTGGGAGGCAGAGGTTTCAGTGAGCCGAGATACTGCCACTGCACTCCAGCCTGGGTGACAGAGCGAGACTCCATCTCAAAAAAAAAAAGAGAGAGAGAGAGAGAGAGAGTCCAGGCCAGTGTGGGAGAATGTTAACAGCTAGAGAATTGGGATGAGTAGTATTGGGAGTTTTTAATATTCTTGTTACTTTTTTTGACAGTTTTATTGAGATACAATTCACCCACTTAATGTGTACATTTCAATGTGTTTTTTTTTTGTTTTTTGTTTTTTTTTTGAGACAGGGTTTTACTCTATTGCCAAGGCTGCAGTGCAATGGCGTGATCTTGGCTCCCTGCAACCTCCGCCTCCTGGGTTCAAGCTCGTCTCTTGCCTCAGCCTCCTGAGTAGCCTGAATTACAGGCACCCATCACCCAGATAAGTTTTTGTATTTTTAGTAGAGACGGGGTTTCACCAGGGTGGCCAGGCTGGTCTTGAACTCCTGACCTTAGGTGACATCCGCCTCAGCCTCCCAAAGTGTTGGGATTATAGGTGTGAACCATTGCACCTGGCCCATTTCAATGATTTTTTTTTTTTTTTTTCTGAGACGGAGTTTTGCTCTTGTTACCCAGGCTGGAGTGCAATGGCGCAATCTCAGCTCACCATAACCTCCGTCTCCTGGGTTCAAGCAATTCTCCTGCCTCAGCCTCCCGAGTAGCTGGGACTCCAGGCGTGCGCCACCATGCCCAGCTAGTTTTTGTATTTTTAGTAGAATCGGGGTTTCACCATGTTGACCAGGATGGTCTCGATCTCTTGACCTTGTGATCCACGCGTCTCGGCCTCCCAAAGTGCTGGGATTATAGGCGTGAGCCACCGTGCCCGGCCCATTTCAATGATTTTTAATGTGTTCACAAAACTGTGCAACCAATCACCATAATCAATTTTAGAATGTTTTCATCAGCCCCAGAAAACCTCATACTCACAGTCATCCTTGTTTCTCTTTGTCTTATTCTTGCGGGGTGTTTTTGTTTTTTGATAGTTTGGATATGTTTCAAAATAAAAGGTTATGAAATTATATATGTTTTTAGATACAATAAATTACAGAGTGTTCGAGTTTCTTTTATTTATTTTTTTTATTTTTTAATTTTAATTTTTATTTTTTTTTGAGACGGAGTTTCGCTCTTGTTACCCAGGCTGGAGTGCAATGGCGCGATCTTGGCTCACCGCAACCTCCGCCTCCTGGGTTCAAGCAATTCTCCTGCCTCAGCCTCCTGAGTAGCTGGGATTACAGGCACGCGCCACCATGCCCAGCTAATTTTTTGTATCTTTAGTAGAGACGGGGTTTCACCATGTTGACCAGGATGGTCTCGATCTCTCGACCTTGTGATTCACCCGCCTCGGCCTCCCAAAGTGCTGGGATTACAGGCTTGAGCCACCGTGCCCGGCTTAATTTTTTTTTTTTTTTTTTGAGACGGAGTTTCGCTCTTGTCACCCAGGCTGGAGCGCAATGGCGCGATCTCGGCTCACCGCAACCTCCGCCTCCCGGGTTCAGGCAATTCTCCTGCCTCAGCCTCCTGAGTAGCTGGGATTACAGGCACGTGCCACCATGCCCAGCTAATTTTTTGTATTTTTAGTAGAGACGGGGTTTCACCATGTTGACCAGGTTGGTCTCGATCTCTCGACCTTGTGATCCACCCGCCTCGGCCTCCCAAAGTGCTGGGATTACAGGCTTGAGCCACCGCGCCCGGCCCGTGTTTTGCTTTTTTAGAGACAGAGTACTGCTGTGTTGCTCAGGCTGGAGTGCAGTGGCACAATCATAGTTTACTGTAGCCTCCAATATCTGGGCTCCAGCAATCCCCCAGCCTTAGCCTCCGGAGTAGCTGGCACTGCAGGTGTGAGGTAGGAAGTGGGACTCTACATTTACTTTGGAGGCAGGGCTCAGACATCAGACCAAATTGAGGACTAGCTAAAACAAGCACGGCAGAAGCAACTTTCCATAAGATATGCCCAGCAGTGTATCATGGCAGTTTACTGTTGCCATTGCAACACCCAGAGATTACCATCCCTTTACCTGGCAGTGACTGGACCACCCAGAAGTTACCACTGCAGTGCCTCTGAGCTGCTTTCCTGGGCACACTGCCTATGCCTCTGTGAGGAGCAGTGCCTTTGCTGCTGCTATCCACTGTGGCTTCAATATCAACAAATGATGCTGTTTAACACCACCAGCTTACCCTGGAATTCCTTCCAGGGCAAAGCCACGAACCCAGGCTAAGCCCCAATTTTGGGGCTTACCTAACCTGAATTATCTGCTGCCATCATGCCCAGTTAATTTTTTAATCTCTTTGAGGCAAGGTCCCGCTATGTTACCAAGGCTGGCTTCTGACTCCTGGCCTCAAGGGATCCTCCAGCCTTGGCCTCCCAAAGTGGTAGGATTATAGGCTGGAGCCACTGGCAGGCCACTCTTTTTATTTTATTTTATTTTGAGATGGAGTCTCACTGCGTTGCCCAGGCTGGAGTGCAGTGGCTCCATCTTGACTCACTGCAACCTCTGCCTCCTGAGTTCAAGCTTTTCTCCTGCCTGAGCCCCCCAAGTAGCTGGGACTACTACAGGTGCCTGCTACCATGTCCAGCTAAATCCACCTTGGCCTCCCAAAGTGCTGGGATTACAGTGATGAGCCACCATGCCCAGCCTTTATTAATTTTATTAATTTTAATTTTAATTTTTTTTTTTTTTTGAGGTAGAGTCTTGCTCTGTCACCCAGGCTGGAGTGCAGTGGTGCCATCTTGGCTTACTGCAACCTCCGCCTTCCGAGTTCAAGTGATTCCCCTGCCTCAGCTTCCTGAGTAGCTGGGATTACAGGCATGTGCCACCATGCCTGGCTAATTTTGTATTTTGTTTTTTTTTTTTTTTTTTTTTTTGAGACGGAGTTTCACTCTTGTTACCCAGGCTGGAGTGCAATGGCGCGATCTCGGCTCACCGCAACCTCCGCCTCCTGGGTTCAGGCAATTCTCCTGCCTCAGCCTCCTGAGTAGCTGGGATTACAGGCACATGTCACCATGCCCAGCTAATTTTTTGTATTTTTAGTAGAGACGGGGTTTCACCATGTTGACCAGGATGGTCTCGATCTCTCGACCTCGTGATCCACCCGCCTCAGCCTCCCAAAGTGCTGGGATTACAGGCTTGAGCCACCGCGCCCGGCTATTTTTTTTTATTTTTATTTTATTTTTATTTATTTATTTATTTTTAGGAGGAGTTTCGCTCTTGTTACCCAGGCTGGAGTGCAATGGCGCGATCTCGGCTCACCGCAACCTCCGCCTCCTGGGCTCAGGCAATTCTCCTGCCTCAGCCTCCTGAGTAGCTGGGATTACAGGCACGCGCCACCATGCCCAGCTAATTTTTGTATTTTTAGTAGAGACAGGGTTTCACCATGTTGACCAAGATGGTCTCGATCTCTTGACCTCGTGATCCGCCCGCCTCGGCCTCCCAAAGTGCTGGGATTACAGGCTTGAGCCACTGCGCCTGGCTAATTTTGTATTTTTAGTAGAGATGGGGTCTCTCCATGTTCAAGGGCTGGACTTGAACTCCTGACCTCAAGTGATCTGCCCGCCTCAGCCTCCCAAAGTGCTGAGTTTACAGGGGTGAGCCACCGTGCCCGGCCCTCCCATGGTTTATTTTTGCGAAAATAAGTGCATGTGGGCACATACATGCCTGTGCACACACACATCCACACACAGCTGCACATACAGTTATGCATATGCTCATATATGTGTGCATACACACGTGTGCTTCCCCTCTCTTCTACATACTGTACACACCATTCTAACTGCTTTATTTTTTCTTTTATTAACACTGGACACCAGTGCACACTCCATATTAGAAATTATCTTCATTTTTTTTCAGTTGAGTTCTCCATTGTGCTGATGTCCTTGATTTTTTTCAGTTAGTCCCTGATGATGGGCACATGGGTTTTCAGGTCTTCAGCAAGTAAGAGGCCCCGGTGGACTGGAGCCTGCGGCTGGACTCCGTCTGCCTGGATGAAGGGTGACCAGTGGAGCAGGAGCGCCTGCAGTCTGATCAAACTCTTGGATTTTTGCCCGTCGGGGAGGTGAGACACGGATCTAAGTGAGGTTTTATTTTTCGTGTAGTTTAACTTGCGTTTCTTTTATGTGAAAGTTTTTCTTTCTCATTTGTAAACTGTGATCTGACTATATATAATGTCTGTATCCCCCACTAGATTGCCTGCCCCATGGGGCAGAACATCCTAGAAACATGCCTAGGTTGTCTTATGGCCAGTAAGATTTTTTTTTTTTTTTTTTTTTTTTGGCGACGGAGTCTTCCTCTTTGGCTAGGCCGGAGGGCAGTGCGTGATCTCGGCTCTCTGCAACCTCCGCCTCCTAGGTTCAAGCGATTCTCCTGCCTCAGCCTCCCGAGTAGCTAGGCTGACAGGCGCGTGCCACTCTGCCTGGCTAATTTTTGTATTATTTTAGTAGAGACGGCGTTTCACCCTGTTGCCCAGGCTGGTCTCGATCCCTTCTGTTGACCTCGTGATCCTCCCGCCTCGGCCTCCCCAAGTGCTGGGATTCTAGGTGTGAGCCACAGCGCGCGGCCCCAGTAAATGTGTAATTGAGGAATGGAAGAACCAATGGGCGAGCGCAGACGCCCCTCACTCCCCTCTTTGTCCTGATCATTCTGAAGTCAGGAAACAGCACACGTTCGGGAGAGAGAAGGAAGACCACGGAGCTCGAAGTGGAGCCGGAGCAGGTGGCTCCAGCTAAGGCCCCGCTGCACCTTCTCCAGCACGCCTGGGTCCCGAACGCCCCGCGCTCCCGCCCGGCAACTGCACATCCCTCTGCCTCTTAGAGACCCTGGGGTCGGTGCGAGGATCCCTGCGGCCCAGCAGCGGCCGGAGGCAGCTGGAGCGTCCTCCTCCCGCTCGGCCTCCCCAAGGCGCAGGGATCACAGACACCGGGTGGACGCTGCTTCGTTCATTCGTTTATTGGTTCATTGGTAAGTGGGGCTGCGAAATCTCGAGGGCAGGGGAGGGGCCGCAGCCGGTCCTGGCGGTGGCGGAGGCGGCGCTCAGCGGTACTTCTCGGTTAGGACAGAGGATACGACCGACAGGAACTTGTCCCAGGCGGCGTGGGCCTCGGCCGTGAAGTCGGCGGGGAAGCGCGCGGCCAGGGTGACCAGCAGGCAGTGGGACAGGAGCTGGGGGAGGGGCCGCTCAGTGAGGGGCGGGGCATAGTGCGGGCCCCGCCCCGCAGCCCCGCCCCACCAGGACCCCTGCCCCGTACCCCACCTCCATCCCACCCCTGCCAGGATCCCCGCCCCGCGACCCCCTCCCTCCGCCAGGACCCCCGCCCCGCACCCCCGCACCCCGCCAGGACCCCCGCCCGGCCCCGCCCCACGCACCTTGAAGTTGACCGGGTCCACGCGCAGGATGTAGGCGTGCAGCTCGCTCAGCTTGGACAGGGCGGCGCCGATGTTGTCGATGCTCTTCACCGCGTCGCCCACGGCGGCCACCACCTTGGAGCCGTGCGCGCGCAGCTGCGCCGACCCCGGGTGCAGGTCGAAGTGCGGGAAGTAGGTCTTGGTCTGCGGGTAGCTGAGGAAGAGCCTGGCGCGCGGGGCGGGCGCCGTGAGCTCCCGGCAGCGCCGCCTCCCGCCACGGCCCGCGCGCCCTGCGGCCCTCTCCGAGCTCCAGGACGCGGCCGCGACCCCGCAGCAGGCCCCAGCCCCTCCTCGCGGTGCCCGCGTGCCCAGGCAGCTGCCCCTCCCAGGCTGCCCTGAGCTGGAGGCCCCAGGCCGCTGCGGCTTCCCACGGATTCTGTGCGGCCTGGTCCCCAAATCCACTGCCCTCCGCCTGGTGGGGCCACGAGTGCTCCACCCTCTCCTCTGGCCACAGGGCCTCCTTCCCAGCCCTGGACCGGGTCGCCCGCCACCCCTTCTGCAGGCTCCTGACCTCCCAGCAGTGTTTCAGGGAAGGAAAAGCCCCCTGGCCCCTCCCAGGGGTTCAGATGCTGGGACTTTAGAGGCTGTAGCGCCCTGGCTGCCCAGTAAGGGTCTTCAGGCCTCGAGCAAAACATTTCAGCCTCTGCTTGCCAGAACCCGGGCCTGCGTGAGCCCCGGCCATCGAATGCCTGTGCAATTCCTAACCGTACCCTCTCACCCTGCCCTCCTCACTGAGAGGGAAGGCTATCTGTCCCGCTGTCCCCTCCCCAGTGTCTCTTCCTCACTGGCCCCACTATTTCCTCCCCTCAACCCCCCCCCCCCCGCCACGGTCCCCTCCTCGCTGTCTCACTCCCAGGCCTGGCCTCCCTCCCGGTCCCTCTGGGAGTCCCGTGTGACACTCACCTCTCCAGCGTCTCGGTGCCGATGGTGTCGGCCTGCGTGGAGATCTTGGCCCACATGGACACAATGATGGTCCTCTCAGTCTTGGTCAGAGACATGGCGGCAGGGTGGGCGGCTGCTCTGCAGTTGGGCCTGCTCAGGACTGGCCTTGGTGGTGCTCAGCCCCCGGGTCCCCTTATATACAGGGAGCTGGGCCCAGCCAGGCTGTGGCCATTGGTCAGGTGAGGGGAGGGGGCTGCAGGGGTGGGATTTCTTATCAGATGGAGTGACAAAGGGGCCCTCAGGGCTCGATGGGACTGGGTTTTGGGGGCTATCACTCCTGCTCCTCTCCTGTGGCCTTAGAGGGGGTGTTGGGCAGAGTCTGACCAGACTCTAGGAGAGATAGGGGCCCCACCCTCCCAGGAGGTCACTCCTGCGTTTGCAGTCCAGTCCTGCACCGTCCTTATCCATTTCAGAATCAGCACTTGTGGGAGAACAGAGGAGCAGGACTCAGCAAGCAGCCTCCTGGGAACGTGCCTGCGGTCTGCTAACTTCGTCCTTAAGCAGCCCTACCCAGCCACATGGCAGTCCGTCCCCTTCCCCTCTGTCTCTGTGATTCCTGGGTTTCCTCCAAAAAAGCAAGAGTTCGATCCACCTGGCCCCGAGGGGAAATGCACTGAGTCTGTCCCCTGACCAGCAGGAGGAGGCAGCAGGTCCTGGGAGAAAGCCGAATGCATCTAATATCATGTGTGCTAATATGGAGTTCAATATTGCTTTCCATATTAGTTATTGTAATGTAATGAGGCAAATATTCCTTTTAATTTTTTTTTTTTTTTTTTGAGATGGAATCTTGCTTTGTTGTCCAGGCTGGAATGCAATAGCACAATGTCAGCTCACTGAAACCTCTGACTCCCTGTTTGAAGTCATTCTTCCACCTCAGCCGCCTTAGTAGCTGGGATTACATTGCCTGCCACTGTACCCAGCTATTTTTTGTATTTTTAGTAGAGACACGGTTTCACCATCTTGGCCAGGCTGTTCTTGAACTTCTGACCTTGTGATCCACCCGCCTTGGCCTCCCAAAGTGCTGGGATTACAGGCATGAGCCACCACATCCAGCCAGCCAAAGTTTTAATGAAGTCCAGTTTATCAGAAAATGTTAAATGAATCTTACTTAGTGCCATGCCTAGGAAGTCTCTACCTAACCATGGAACTCAAAGATTTTCACCTATGTTTTCTCCTAAAGTTGTATAGTTTATGTTTATATTGAACTATACAATGCATTTTGAGATGACGTTTGCCTAAGGTGTGAAGGGCAGGTCCAGGTTCTTCTCTTTGCTTGTATTTTTGCCTGTGGATGTCCAATTGTTCTAGTACTATTTGTTGAAAAGGCTATACGCTTTCTATTCAGTTGGCTTCTCACACTTATCATGAAAAAATGAATGAGGCGTAGGTTGGTGGGTCAATTTCCAGACTCTATTCCATTTCATTGATCTATGTGTCTATCTTTACCACAACCACACTGTCTTGATTAGTATAGCTCTATGATGGTTTTTTTTCCCCTCTTTTTATTTATTTATTTATTTATTTTGACCTGGAGGCTCACTCCATTGCCCAGGCTAGAGTGCAGTGGTGTGATCTCGGTTGACTGCAACCTCCATCTCCCAGTTTCAAGAGATTCTCCTGCCTCAGCCTCCTGAGTAGCTGGGATTACAGGCACGCACCACCACGTCCAGCTAATTCTTTTGTATTTTTAGTAGAGATGGGGCTTCACCATGTTGGTGAGGCTGGTCTCTAACGTCTGACCTCGTGATCCGCCCACCTCAGCCTCCCAAAGTGCTGGGATTACAGATGTGAGCCACTGCACCCAACCTCTTTTTAATTTTTAATGACCAAAACAAAGCATCTAAAATGGCCGTTTCTGGAAGAACCACTTGTTCTTGCTGGTCTCATATAGCTCTTCAAGCTTGACCTTGGCCTCCACCCAGCGTTTAGAAGCAGGGTCTCTGGCCGGGCATGGTGGCTCAAGCCTGTAATCCCAGCACTTTGGGAGGCCGAGGCGGGTGGATCACGAGGTCGAGATCGAGACCATCCTGGTCAACATGGTGAAACCCCGTCTCTACTAAAAATACAAAAAATTAGCTGGGCGTGGTGGCACGTGCCTGTAATCCCAGCTACTCAGGAGGCTGAGGCAGGAGAATTGCCTGAACCCAGGAGGCAGAGGTTGCGGTGCGCTGAGATCGTGCCATTGCACTCCAGCCTGGGTAACAAGAGCGAAACTCCGTCTCAAAAAAAAAAAAAAAAAAAAAAAGAAGCAGGGTCTCTGAAGACATCCTTACTGACAAGAGCTTTGTCCAAGGGGATACCAGAGAGCACCTTATGGGCATTAGGCGGCTGTAGTTATAAACTGTCACAAAAGACTTGATCTTTGACTATGATGTCTTAAAATTGAATAACGTCCCACAGAATGAGAGAAAATAGTTGCAAATCTTATATTTGATAGGGACATTATCCAAAATATATTTTTAAAAATTTATTTATTTTTTTTTTTTAAAGACAGGGTCTTGCTCTGTCACTCAGGCTGGAGTGCAGTGGCACAATCTCAGCTCACTGGAACCTCCGCCTCCCAGGTTCAAGCGATTCTACTACCACAGTCTCCCGAATAGCTGGGACCACAGTTGTGATGCCACCACACCTGGCTAATTTTTTTTGTATTTGTAGGAGAGACAAGGTTTTGCCACGTTGGCCAGCCTGGTGTTGAACTCTTGACCTCAAGTGATCCACCCACTTATTAGAGACAGGGTCTTGGCCTGCCACCCAGGCTGGAGTTAGGGTGAGATCCTAGCTCACTGCAGTCTCAAACTCCTTAGTTCAACTGATGCTCCCACCTCAGCCTTCCAATAAACTGGGACTATAGGCACACACTGTGCCTGCCTTATTTTATTTTATTTTATTTTATTTTATTTTATTTATTTATTTATTTTTTTTGAGACGGAGTTTCGCTCTTGTTACCCAGGCTGGAGTGCAATGGCACGATCTCGACTCACCACAACCTCCGCCTCCTGGGTTCAGGCAATTCTCCTACCTCAGCCTCCTGAGTAGCTGGGATTACAGGCATGTGCCACCATGCCCAGCTAATTTTTTTTTTGTATTTTTAGTAGAGACGGGGTTTCACCATGTTGACCAGGACGGTCTTGATCTCTTGACCTCGTGATCCACCCGCCTCAGCCTCCCAAAGTGCTGGGATTACAGGCTTGAGCCATCGCGCCTGGCTTATTTTTTTAAGAGACATTCTTGCTCTGGCACCCAGGCTGGAGTGTAACAGTGCTATCTTGGCTCACAGCAATCTCTGCCTCCCTGGTTCAAGCGATCTTCATGCCTTAGCCTCCCAAGTAGGTGGAATTACAGGCATTCGCCACCACTCCCGGCTAATTTTGTATTGTTAGTAGAATGTTTCTCCATGTCGGTCAGGCTGGTCACGAACTCCCGACCTCAGATGATCCGCCTGCCTTGGCCTCCCAAAGTGCTGGGATTACAAGCGTGAGCCACCATGCCTGGCCCGCATTGTACACTTTAAATGGATGAACTGTATGGTATGTGAATTTTATCTCAATAGAGCTGTTAAAAGTTAACAAATGTGATTCCTCTCTGTTTATTCTTCCTTTTCAAAATTTCTTTGGCTATTCTAATTTCTTCACCTTTCTGTATGAATTTTAGAGCTAGCTAAAGAGTTATCTGCACAAAATCCTGCTGGAATTTTGATGCAATCAAAGGCAAATATTTTCTGTAAGGAGAGGTTTGTGGTCTTTTTTTTTTTTTTTTTTTTTTTTTTTTTTTTTTTTTGAGACGGAGTTTCGCTCTTGTTACCCAGGCTGGAGTGCAATGGCGCGATCTCGGCTCACCGCAACCTCCGCCTCCTGGGTTCAAGCAATTCTCCTGCCTCAGCCTCCTGAGTAGCTGGGATTACAGGCACGCGCCACCAAGCCCAGCGAATTTTTTGTATTTTTAGTAGAGACGGGGTTTCACCATGTTGATCAGGATGGTCTCGATCTTTTGACCTCGTGATCCACCCGCCTTGGCCTCCCAAAGTGCTGGGATTACAGGCTTGAGCCACCGCGCCCGGCCTGTGGTCTTTTTTTTTTTTTTTTGACATGGAGTTTTGCTCTTGTTACCCAGGCTGGAGTGCAATGGCGCGATCTCGGCTCACCGCAACCTCCGCCTCCTGGGTTCAGGCAATTCTCCTGCCTCAGCCTCCTGAGTAGCTGGGATTACAGGCACGTGCCACCATGCCCAGCTAATTTTTTGTATTTTTAGTAGAGACGGGGTTTCACCATGTTGACCAGGATGGTCTCGATCTCTTGACCTCGTGATCCACCCGCCTCAGCCTCCCAAAGTGCTGGGTTGACAGGCTTGAGCCACTGTGGTCGGCAGGTTTGTGTATTTTTGTTTTCCCTGTTATGAGAGCTTTGACCACAGGCATTTTTTTCCTTTTTCTTTTTTTCTTTGTCTTTTTAATGGAGTCTGGCTCTGTTTCCCAGGTTGGAGTGCAGTGGCACAATCTCAGCTCACTGCAACCTCTGCCTCCTGGGTTCAAGCGATTCTCCTGTCTCAACCTCCTCAGTAGCTGGGATTACAGGTGCATGCCACCATACCTGGCTAATTTGGGTAATTTTAGTAGAGAGTTTCACCTTGTTTGCCAGGCTGGTCTTGAACTCCTGACCTCAAGTGATCTGCCCACCTTGGCTTCCCAAAGTGTGGGATCACAGGCATGAGTCACTGTGCCTGGCCAATCACAGGCTTTTTGCTGAACTTTTCTTAGAGAAAATTGTAGGTCTTAGATAAGCCCTCTGAATTAGAAAGCAAGTCTTGAGCACCTTCTCCATGCCAGACACTGTACTTGATGTTTTACTCGTGTAAGGGCACTCATTCTTCCATGGCTGAGATGTGAGATGATGAGATTGGCAGGGGTTGAGGGCAACAGCAGCCTTTGATGCCCTCTGGGCTTAGCTGATGGGAGGGACTCTCCTTACAGGCTTCCAGGAAGTCCCTTCCAGCACTGCCTGGTCCTCCTTGCTGGTCTGTTCCTTGTGCGCATTTCTTTCTTTTTTTTTTTTTTTTTTTTTTTGAGACAGAGTTGCTCTTGTT